TCTAATACCTCGCACAGACGAATTAGAACCTAGGAAATAGGTCACAAGTGAAAAATATATTGTGGAATCGCCTGTCGGGAAAAGAAGTAACCTTTGCTGAGTGTACAGGAAATATAAATTCAAATCAAAAAGTTGGGTATTGGACCAGTTAAAACTAACCCCAGAATTCGACCTACAAGGTCAAAGAGCAGCTAGTGAATGGAAATTTTGGAAAATATCATTTGAGGATTACCTGGTTGCAACAGGGTAGCACGAAGCCGCCAATAATGTGAAATTATCCACCTTGATAAATATAATTGGACGAGATTCTGGACGTATTATGTCTAAATTCATAATACCTGAAGCAGAGCAAAACAAATTAAATTGTACTATGAATCTGATAAAAGAATATGTCAACCCCAGAGTGAATTAATGCTCGAGAAAAGGACTCAGAAAGACGGATGATAGTAGATAGTAGATAACACAGTAGATCCTACTGACTGCGCCATGTTCAACGTGTGTGATGTTAGATTGGACACTTATGAATAATATTCAATAGGTACTTGGAATGGTTGCCTAATTATTTAATAATAGATAAATATTACTGGAGTTTTTCCCAACACCAAATCGTTACTTTGGTAAATTTTCGTTTTGAGGACACCTGTCGATTTTGAAAAAATGTTTGCGTGTACCTACGTATTTTGATGCGTAGATTACGAATCCGAAAGAAAAAAGCGGCGCTCTCCCTTATTTACACAGTTACGGCCCTTCAAAGTTCTGAACTTTTCAGCCTTCTTTTTCACAAAATAAACTATTTAAAAACACAAGCATCTATTTATTAGATCACCTTTACACCTTATTCCTCCTTCTTTGACACTTTTCACTTAAATAATCAACATTTTTCCAATAAAAATGTTAAAAAATGTACGGAGCTGCTTTTTGGTTACATATAAAAAAAAATATTGATTATTGAAGTGAAAAGTGTCAAAGAAGGAGGAATAAGGTGTAAAGGTGACCTAGTTGCCGTTTCAGAACTTTGAAGGGCCGTAACTTTGTGAATAAGGTAGAGCGCCGCTTTTTTCTTTTGGATTCGTAATCTACGCATCAAAATACGTAAGTACACGCAAACATTTTTTCAAAATCGTCGGGTGTCCTCAAAACGAAAATTTACCGTTCATATATATTTTACTACTACGCAAATCCGCCTAGAGCCATTGACATGTCTGACGTTGACACATCTGACATCTACATTAAGGCTAATTCACATTATATTAAACACCGTTCATGGTAAGAATCGACTTTTTTTATGTAATGAAAATTGACATCAAACATTCTAGAATCTAAACTAGTGCAACGTGCCTTAAAGTCGTTTTGTTTTTCCAAATAATTCGTTGCAATGCCACACGTGGCAACGCCGTTGAAGGAACGCCTGTGTGATGGTTTTTTACTGTTTACAAACTTCACCAATTGATACTGACATTGTTGTTTATGTTATGTTGTTTCTGACTCAGAATACAATCACCATATGCCACTGTCAACATTTCAAATGTAACTTTTATGCCTCTCACCAACAAACTAAACATGCTGAACAGCTGAAACTGAACATATTTTCTGGACGAGTGTACCAATATAAAAAAATTAAGAAATCGCTTTTTGAATGTACGTAACCTGAGAAATTTAAACGTTAACCCTATTTTTTAAACGGTCCACTATACTGAGTTCGCTGAAAAGAGTCGCTATTCATATTGTCGAATAGGCCATGTATATAAATTCCGTTTAGTCACTCGGCCACATTTTTGTATCAAAAGTGCAGTGTATTTTTCAGCAACATTCACTGTTTCAAAATGTTGCATAAGCAAGTATTTTTTCGGAATTGAATCTAGAATTCAAT